TATTACACATATGCAAACAACACATGTGCATCTGGTAAAGTCTGTGGACACTACACCCAGGTGAGGCAATGACTTTTCACTTACATTTTAAATAAAGCTATAAACTTTTGCGGAATATTTTATACATTTTTTGCAGTTGCATTTTACAGATTGTCCGATTTCTATTTTTGTTTGACCAGCTGAGCTACTCGTAGTTTATGAAGCTCTATTTTACGTACCGGAAAGCTCTATCATAACCTCCATTAGAACGACCTTTTCTCTGTAATAAATAGCTGGTCTGGGCATCGTCTGGGGAGCTTGGGTGCGCTGTTAAACAGTGTGATGACATAAAACCAACTTGGCCAAAGCCGATATACCTAATGGCGTGCCAATATAAACCACCGTGAGTGTGATTATGCAAAATTATTTACAGCTGGGATAGTGGACTGATAATTAACCCTAATGTCTTTGTCTCAGGGGTAACTACGTAGGTGAAAAACCTTACACAAGCGGTACTAGTTGCAGTAAATGTCCAAATGGAACTACGTGCGTAAACAAACTTTGTTCCAAGGGAGGTTCTCAAACAATGAGTACACCATCCACCTCCCCTATCACTCGGGTGGGAGGAATGGCCTTGTTTACTACAATTCTGGCCTATGCTTTCGCCTAAGAATGCCTTAGCCACTAAACACTTTATTACTTACCAATCTCATTTCGCACACACTTGACATGGAACCATTTCCTCCCCCAACACAAAGCAACTTGTATTATAGTTCCCCTTTTCCCATTGCTCCTCACCACTATTTGTCTGTTATTGTTTACAAATGCGTAAGATTGCATCAATTAAACAATTATCCCCGTGTTTTATTAGTGATATGACCTCTTGGTGCCTCACTAATGACAGAGCTTCTCCCTACTGACATCTCAGGTCGACCAGCTTGTTCCGCAATGCTGCAATTAACACGTTCGTGTTTATCCAACAATTCAAATTGTGCATTCTCTGAATCCCATGTTATTCATATCGTGCCTAGTCATTTGCCATCCACGCCAAGCGCCATGGTAAAATTGGCGATGTCAAGGAAAAACTAGGTCAAGGTTGCCACCAAGTCATGGGTATTTTAGACCAATCAGGCTAACAGCCAAGTATTCTAGCGACTAATCTTAAATGGACTCGTCTGGTTGCTTTCCTTTTAAGTAGTCCCTCGTAGGATATTGGAGCGATTTCATGGAAATGGGTGCACAATCGTTAATTGCCCATAGGTTGTTAACTTGCCCAGCAGTTTCATTACAGCCTTGATGAGGAATTGTAATTCTCTTGGAAAGTAGATAGCGTAGGCGCCATCTTCCAGTCTTGGTTGTGCAATTAAACGAAGTGAAGGATTGAGGACTCCCATGCCGTGTAACAATATGCAGTGCACATGATGCATTCTAAGCATAATTCAACAAATGCTCAATGTTATTATACTTTTAAAGCTAACTATATGGGATTGGGGCACTCGGGAACGGCAATTGTTGTGGCGACTATCCCCCGAGAACTGCGTGAAAGGAATAAGCTTTATGGGAAAAAGAACATTGGCAGCTTATTCATAAGTGCGTGATTTCCTACCTGTGTATTTCGAAGGTCACAATCGAGTCTCGTAAATCATCCCCTCTAAATGTACCTTCAACACATTTACTTTATGAAATTGGTAACATTAGTGTGTCATTCCATGGTGCGAATGGGGCTTAAATAGAAGAGGCAGTTCTCAAATAGGCGAGTGAACCATTGTTAACATGCATATCAGGGATTTAGAGCAACAGGGCGAAGCGCACATTGTCTATATCTTTATCTTTCAACGTCAAAATTGGCAACCGTTTGGTGGAATGAGGTTGGTTAGTAGCAAATATCATAGCAACTCATGTGCATCTCTCAAGAGGGTCTACCGGCGTGATGTTAGATATTAGAAATGGATCATTCGTCCCCTTACTTCCACGTATTCGCATTAAATACTTGTTTTTGGACAAGTAGTTTTTCAACTCATCACATATTCTCTGTAGAACATTCAACAATGTTGTGAATAAGCAATCTGTTGTACACAAGAAATACTATTGTGTGCAAGTAGGTGGTGCAGGGTTCATTATTCAAACTGGGTTTGTGATATGAGGATTCGAAATGGGTAGCCACCAGCAGACCTGTTGACCTCGCATCACAATTTATCGTGGCATAAGCGACTGAACAATAGACGAGAAATGACTATCTTGCGAAGATCATCCTGCAAATGTGCAAGTCCTGATTGTATGAAGGCATTCACCAGATACCTGACTTAGTTCCCACAGCTCACAATTGCTCGCGTGTTCAAATAATGCATAATGCTCAGGGAACTGGACTTTCGTTACTCCTGATGGGAAGTAAGGTACAATACCACTTTTATCTACCTCTCACTCCACTTGTGAGTCATCCATGTACAACAACTTCATTTACAAGGAATATCATTCTCACTGTCAAAATACTCCACTGTTGTTTCAAACCGACACGAGAAAACACCATCTCTATCTCTACTACCATACAGGCGCCTATTTACTTCAAAGTGAGAATGATGGATGCAATGTAAACAGATTGGCATGTTCCCGACCCTCGGCAGTGGTGGCTCAATGTGTGGATAGAATGAACTTCCATTCAGTCCCTGAACAAATCTGCTGGTTGAATCTGTCAAGATTACTGAGATGGGAATAAGGATGCATCCATCTACTAAGGATCAGTCAATTATCAAATAGCGTGCATCATGAACACGACCGGTCCCCATATTTGTAAAACGCACTTGCAAACACAGATCCACAAGCACCAAGCACATTAGTATTGCCTTCCGTAATTGAGATTGGTCTTGCATTTAAGTCATCTGCAATGGGTGAGTTGTAGAGCGGACGAATGTGGAGAAACGACACTAGTGAAGTAGATTGAGTGCAGTTGTCAGTTGGACAGAAGGTCAGGACGGAAAATAAACCTAAATGCGTATAAAGGGGAACCGCACAATTTCCAAACAGGGTTGACACATTTAAATCAGTCAACAGCTCTTTAGGTAATCTTTTCAGATCAAGGAAGCAAAAGTAACGGTGCGCGTAATCTTGAAATCCCATTCCAAATCATCAAAGTCAATCTGTGTTTCGCACTTCACAACCAGGAGGCACAACATTCATGTCGTCAATTCATGTTCATAACTAAATGCCGTCTTGCGGTTTGGTATCAACAACTGTGTGTGGTGGGCATAGTCTGGAGACACCCAACGTGTTCATTCATTTCACTTATGAAGTAGAGCCAATTTTTCCTTAATTTTTCAAATCCCTCCAAGTGTCCCCTTACTTATATTCGGCGCCAGAGTTATTATAAATGCCACAACGAGTAGGTCATTGCCACTATAAATCGCCACATATGTAGGTTCATTACAACGCCGAAATTATAGTATTCTCTGATGCAAGAATTTATCGTATTTATTTTGCTACAAATTTATGAGGTATGCTTTAAAATCCATTCACGTGACCTGTGGTGGGCGTTTCTCCCAATATGTGAGGCACGTGAGGATGAGGAAGAGATTTCACTGGAATATGTCCCTGCATTTGAGTGCGTGGTTTGCAATTGCAGAATGTTTACTAACCAACAGGTCAATCAGTTGGTTTTTCAGTGATTCGTGCTTCACGTTTACGATCATGTCCCGCCTACTCAGCGACACGTACATTGCGTCAAGTGTGTAGCTTTTTACACACCCTTACTTACACTAGATTAAAGTTAACATTTCATCATACGAAACTGCTTTGATGGAATAGAGTGGATCTCCTTCACACGCCTGATACGTTGCCTTAGGGAATAGGGCAAAATGCCTTCAATGGTAGGGGAACTTAAAATATGAAAGGAGGGCGAATCGAGGCGGTGATGCATGTAAGCAAATAGAATAGTAAGAGAATGAGAGGAGAGAAATGCTAACGTGGTAATATAATGCGGTCCCTGCTCTTACCACCCATCCACAGATGTTTTCACTAGGCACTTAGGTGCAAATAGAGGGCACTTTGCTTGGTACTTGCAGAAATGAGTTTTGAAGGGCTAATGGGATCGCAAGCGGGATCGCGTCCTCACTGTAGAATGGACACAAATGGGAAGAGTCGGGTTAAGAGGTTGAATGTATTCACAATGCTATACATATGTATGAATTCGGCCAGATTTAATGCAGAATGACGTAAAAAGTAGAGGGAATAAAGCACAATGATTGGGACAAATTTAGGATAGATATGGCAAGGAAGCACTTAAAGGGGATCGGGATTTCTTCTGCTCTGTAGTTGAATGTATGGAATCTCCTTTGAACCAGTGGAACATCGGGGTGGGTGCGATAAGCGACGATGATTGGAGTAAGTCCGTGTTGTAAGTCGGTGGCAGAATACAGTAGTGAGCTTGGTGAATTAATGATTATATCTGGCAAATTAAAACCATGTCAATTTCTCGGGCATTTGCTAGCGAACAGAGGGCTTCCATGTTGAGGTGCTGCTACTTTTTTGGTGGCAGTAGTACATTCATCTTTAGGTGATGGGTGAAGACGGAACATACGCAAAGCGAAGCAAACATTGTCTATGTGTTCATTTTTAAAGGTCAGAATTGGCATTTGTCTAGTGGAATGCGGGTAGATAATAACAAGTATGACAGCAACTCATGTGCATCTCCCATGAGAGTCTACCGACTTGACGTGATATCGCGTAATTGTAAAAATAGGAAATGGATCATTCCGTCTGGTTTCTTCCACGCATTCACATTAAATACTAATTTCTGGACAACATATATCACTGAGGTCTGAGTCGAATGCCTCAAATGTCTACGGTTTCGTATTTCGATTTCACTAATCTTTCCACATATTTGCCCGATTTTCCGTTGTATCAAATCAAGCTCACGAAGGGGAGCCGCATGGATTTTAAAAACAACTGATACATTTAAATCAGTAAACAGATCTTTTGGTCAACTTTTTCGTTTAATGAAGTAAAAGAAATGCTACGTGTGAAAAATTGGATTTGTTATAAAGTTTGCATATTGGAGGAGTCGAGGCGTGAAGTAAGAGCTACGAAACGATGAAAATAAAATTGACTGATCTAGGAGGTAATAAATAATCAGTAATTATAAAGCCGTGTACTTTAACACAAAGAGATATTCCGGTGAAATTTATTCTTCAAACTCACACCCCACATTGTGGGGAATAACCACCATTGCTTGGTTGAGCTGACTAACTCACATTTTTTCCACTACTCGACGCAAAATACCTCGTAAAACCGTGGCACCAATAGGTCAATGCCATGTATACGTTGAGGCCAATTTAAGGACTGCTGGCCTTCTGACCGTAATATTTTTTCACTGCAGCGTAGCTTCGAAATGTGCTGAATTCTTGTAGTATTTATAGCTATTTCCATGTCATTTGTGTAATTCAATTCTAGAACAAAACGTAAGGAGATACGCAGATGTGACATTGCATCGGAAAGTGTCTATGATAGGTAAGCAGAATGAATGCGAAAGATAAGTGTCTCCACACAATGATTACCGTCACCAATACAAGGAACAATTATGCAGTACTTGGACTTGAAGGCGGCCTGACACCTTCCAACAGCATGCAACTACTTCAAATGAAAACAGTAATATTTAGATAATTTGGCATGGTTACTATTTTAACTCTCCTTCTTCAAAGGACTGTTGAGTAGATTATACTTGGACAAAGAAAATGGAGGTTGTGAACGCATCACCGCTTCCCCTTTTACACCTCACTACTAACTACTCTTTGCATGTTTGTCTCTCTATGTATACAAAAATATTTGCAACGAACACCGGTGATGCTTCAATCCCTTTGATTACTGCTAGCTCGAGTAAATCCAGTGGGTGTTTTCTGTAGGATAGCAAAGTGGTGGGAGAAAATGAAAACGTTGGAGAGTAAGGAACGTCAAAGAAACTTGCTGCAATCCATAATTCATCATCCTTTTCCAGAAACGCTAAACATTCCTACAAAAAGGCAAAATACATAATCGTCATCATCACATTTAACTGAACATTCTAGTAAGGGAATCTTGTGCTATTCATGACTCTCCAACTATCCGTGGAACTAACTTGCCATCCTATGGTGCTTTGGTTGCTTCACATCTAAAGTGTTAAGAATTTCATTAAAGGTAAATCTTCCATGTGTTTCCTCGAAACGCTGGCGCGTAACCTAGAACTCCTATTCCAAATCATCAATGTCTGACTGCATTTCACACTTCTTCAACCAAGAGGCACAACATTCGTGTCGTCAATTCATGCCCATAACTAAATGTCGTCTTGCAGTTTGGTATTGAAAACCGTGTATGGTGGGTATGGTCTGGAGACACCCAACGTGCCCATTCATTTCACCTGTGTAGTGAAGACAATTTTTTCATCTGTTTTCTAATTCCTTCAATCGTCCCCTTACTTATGTTCTGCGTCCGAGTTTGTACTAGAAATCACCACTTGTCTAGGCTCATTGTGATGCCAAAATTGCAGTATTCTTTGGATAAAAGAACATCTAGCTGTTAACCCTAACACATGAATTATTCATATTTACTTGTGCGAAGGATTTATGAGGTACACTTAAAAAAATCTATTCACGCGGTCTGTGGTGGGCGTTTCTCCCAATGTGTGAGGCACGTGAGGATGAGGAAGAGACTTCACCAAAGTATGTCCCTGAATTAGAGTGCGTGGTATGTATTTACAGAACATTTATTCACTACCAGGGTAATCATTTATTTTTTTCAGTAATTCGTGCATCATTTTTACGATCGTGCCTCGCCTACTCGGGGACACGAACTTCACGTCGAGTATACACATGTCCACACACCCTTACTTTGACTACTTTACAGTAAATAGATTATAAAACGGAACTATTTCAAGGGACTAGAGTGGATCTCCTTGACAAGCCTAATACGATACCTTAGAGAACATACCGAAATGCCTTGAATGATACAAGAACTTAAGATATGGAACCAAAGTGATTCAAGGCATTGTATTTAGGTGGCGGTAATGCATGTTAGCAGATAGTTGTAAGAGAATTAGAGAAGAAAATGCAAAAGTGATAAAACTGCAGTAGATAGAATCTTGTACTTATACTATGCGGCTATGTTGCGCTTGTTAGTACATTTGAAGGTGTTGTAGGTGTATGAAATGGATAGCAAAGTATAAAGGCTGTTAGTCATGAGTCTGAATATTCAAACGCTGTAACAATGAAACCCAAAAGAATAGATTTAAGTAAAGGTGGTCCAATATTTGCAAGAGAGTGTGAAAACAGTTAGGATGTTCTGGAGTGAGTAAAGAACATGGAAAGTAAGGAAAAGAATTAGACGCTGTGTTAAATATACATTTTACAATCGTAAAAATATAAGGTGAGATTATGCGGTCAGTTCTCTTACCACCTGCCCACAGCCGTTTTCAGCAGGCACTTACAGGCGAATAGTGAACACCTTAGTTGGTACTTGCAGAAGTGAGTTTTGAAAGACTAACGGGATTGTAAGTGGGCTCAGGTCATTATCGTAGACAAAGCAAAACCGGGAAGAGTTGGGTGGAGTGGTTAAGGGTATTTGCAATGATATACCTTTGTATGAATTAAGACAGATTAAATGAGGAATGAAGTAAAAACTGGAGGGAATTCGGCACCATAATATAGAGAAATTTGAGATTAATATGAAAAGGAGACGTTTAAGGGGGATAGGACTTTATTTTGCTCTGCGGCTGATTGTACAATATCTCCTCCAAGAAAGTGGAACATCAGGGTGGAAGCGATGCACGACGATGATTGCAGTAGGTCGGTTTTGTAAGCCAATGGCAGGACATAGTAGTAAAATTTGCAGAATTACTAGTTGTTCCTGGCAAATTAAAACTAGTGTCAATTTCTCAGGCATTTGCTAGCATACAGATGGCTTTCATGTTGAGGTACTGCTACTTCCTTGGTAGCAGTAGTAAAATAGTTGTGGCAGTGCCTCGATGTAATGTGATGCAGTCTGGTAGTGATTTGAACACTTTGAGCAATAGAAGTCTCAAATGAGTCTGTGTCGTGTCGTGATCAACTTTCTAACTGACAAACCCATTCAATCTACTCCACGAACGGGCATTTGTTCTCATTCTACCAATCTACATCCCAACTATTTCAAATGACCAACTGCAAGGCCAACCCCAAACACAGATGGAATTACAGATGTTTTCGTTGTGGGATGCAGTCTCCATTCCACAATTGTGAACATCAGCCTCCTATGTATTTTGTACTACTGTATAATTGACTGATCCTCAGTAGATAGATATGTCTGTAATTCCACCTAGGAGAGATGCAACCGGTAGATTTGCAAATGCCTAAAGTGGTGGCTGGAATGTTGAAGAAGATTTTTTTATTTTGCCTGAATTCGGCAGGTCGGGACATGACTGTCAATTTGCATTATGTCTTTATCAATCACAACGAAACGAATGCCCACCTTTCAGGTGTCGGAAGTGGAGTTGCTATTTTTCCATACGACTTTGAATAGATCTTTATCATCGTCTGTAGCACGATAATGCAACAGTGGTTTTGATTTTCCTGTTATTAGTTACTTGACTCATCCACGAAATACAACTAGAGTGGGAGGTTGAAAAATGAAGTGAGTCGCCCATTTTTCCCTAATGAGTAAATGAAGAGACTTTTCTAAGTATTGCATTTTAAGGGTTACACGAAAGATTGCAAAGCATAAAAACAGACAAAGTTTACCAGAACCTGTACATTCCTGGTATGATCTTTGACCACGAAGTAATCTCTATAATAGTGTCACAATATAGTAATGCCTTCTCCCTATTTTTACAGTCCTACAACATATATCTTAGTTATTTTTACCGTAAATTAGTGGATAGCATTTAGACTAGGTTCCGCTAAACCAGCAAAGGGCACAGATCAGCTCTAAAGCCAAGTTCTGACGATAATACCCACATCGCCTACATTTACAGAAGAATGTCGGATTTGCAGAGCAGCTTGACTTTTCAC